TCATTAAATCAACAGATTTCTTATTAATCGTGTTCACAATTAGAGGGGGGAGGAGGAAAAAATAAATCAAGGGAAGCAATTATGCTCAGAAATGAGAACGATATTAGTTATCGATCGGATGTGTTTAAGCGAAACTGTCTAACCGGTTCAATAAATTTTCAGCAAATATATTGGACAGAAACTAAAGCAATTAAACTGCGAATAATTTAACGTTCAAAGTATTTGAACGTTATCAGATTCCCAATAGTACTTGAGAAATTGTATCTTAGAGGCGAATTGAATCATGCAGTTTATCGATTACCCGTTCATCGTGTACGTGCTCGGATTTTTATTAAAGATATCTAGGGTGGAATTTCTTACCGTGAATCTGCCTTCGAGCATTTTTCGTCTGCTCGAAGAAATACGAAAGTATAACGGGCACCGGGATGATTTCGTTCGATTCATTGCATTATTTAATATTCTTTCGTATCTTTTGTTCTATTTATTCTATATATATAGAAAGATAGTTCTACTTTCTTCGCTTCTCGAAGCTAATATTATTCAATTTCTTCTATCGATGAGGTTATTACATTTTCGTGGATAATAATTCTCTCGTTATTATGATATTGTAAATAATAATTTTATTATTATATTAATATTATTCTCTTGCAATTTGTATTAGATTAATCGAAAAATTGTAAAATTTTTAAAATAAAAAAAAAAAGAAATATCGGAATTAATTTTATTTTCGAGTAAAAGTGTTAAAGCTCTTTTGAAAAAAGATAAATCTTTAAAATTATTTCACGAGTGACTGCTTTTATTTATCGATCTTCTTAAAAGAAAGACAATTTCTCTCGATATCCCAATGATAATGGAATTTTTATCGAGTTATTATATAATATTGTATAATATCTTAAAACGCTCGATATCTCGAAAGATTAAAAGAATTTCTTTATTTTATGTAATCACAAATTTCCACGGATCAAAGAAATAATAATAAAATTTCAATTTTGAAATATATATAATTTTTCTGAACAGTCTCAATTAGAAGTACAAATAACGCAATCGTTATTTAATTACATAATTTCACCAACGATATAAATTCTTTCACTATTTTAATTAATACCTCCGCTGAAATACGAATTAAGTAAAACAGAATGGAGGTATGCTTAACCGCGTAATTGTTAATATTAGTTCAACGAGACACGGAGGAAGATTTTCCACAGCACGATGTCGTTTCACGTGATTGCAATACGGTGGTTTCGCGTTTTAAACTCGTGTACCACATTTCTCGTTTTCACGATTATTCTCGGTTTTTTCCTCTCTTTCTCTCTCTCTCTCTCTCTCTCTCTCTCTCTCTCTCTCTCGCTGTTTCAGCGTGGATCAGCCGCAAATTCTGGCCGCTGTTTTATCCGCCAGTTATAGAAACCGGCGACAGTACGGGAAATCTGATTAACCGGTGGCTGGTCGTTTCGCGTGGCACGATTTTTTAGTGGGACATGCAAACATACGGCCCCTGCCAAGCTCAAAGACGTCCAACCCTAGCTAGAGGGTTCTCCTCTCTCGCCTCCATTGTTATCTCGGACTTTTGTGGACCGTAGAACGGATTGTTTTCGGCCTCTCTGGCGACAGTTTTCATTTTGCCATTCAGAAAACTGCTGGAAAGTTTTTGTTACGCCTTCACTGTTGCCCCGAAGTGTTTGTCCACGAATCGTTCCCAACTTACAAGAACGGAAAGCACTTTCTGGAAAACCCTTTGAAACCGTGGTGGACACGATGAACTTTCCTCGTAATATGTTTTTCAAAATTCTTGTTTTTTTTTTTTTTATATGAAATATTAACGAAAAGCGAGAGTAAATAATCGAGTTGAGAAAACGATGATCGATTGACTTTTTCTGGACTTCGTTTTTCTAACGATTGCATCGATAGATCAAAAATTTTCTTTCTCTCTGGACTAACTGTCATTTTTTTTCTCTCTCTTTCCATTCTGAATTATACTGTACAAAAATTGATCATGCAAGTTGCACGCGAACATTCTCTCTCGAGTATATTTTTTTTATTTTTTAAGAGACACATTTCGTGTAAAAACTTTTTGTCATCGTATACACATCATTAATATAATTTTTAATATTCCCAAACGCTTTCCTTCCACGCCTCTAAAATTAAATATTTAATAATCTCGTGCATCGCTCTATCTAAACTTTTCCTTTTCGTTTCTCATAAAGTTTTCATAAACTTTCCATAGTCTCGTATTATATTTAGAGATAGTGGCTGCTGATTTATAGGGGATACACGTTATATTACGTTTTCTTATCGTTCGATTTTCTTCGTGAAATTTCTTTAATAGAACAAAGGAATCGAGGTATTTTATAAACTGACTCGACATCGAATTACTCTATTCTACGATATGTTTAGAAATAAAGGGAATGAAATGAGATAAATCTACTGGGCGCTAGTTTCCTTCTCACGAACTATCATTATCGCCTTAAACAATTGATGTACACTGTCCAGAGTTTAGAAGGATAGCGAAAACGTGAAGAGATCATTAATTTCAATTTGAAAGGATAATCCTGAAAAATGAACAGAAGTCGTGTTCTCGTTTCTCAGATAACAACAAAAGTTTAAAATAAAATTTAATTTATATTTTGTTTCAATGTTGATTGTAATAAAAACAAAAATTATAATTTATTAAGAAAATCTTCGTTTTTAAACTCGATCGAATCAAAAATATTTCACGACGTAACCGCTCTGTAAAAAAAAAAAAAAATAAAATCCCTTTTTTTCTTTTTATTGTAACATCACACACACACACACACACACACAAAAGAACAAATTTAAATAACGCCCAATCATTTCTATTCAATCACAGCTAAATCAATTACCTTCTATTGATATTAATCCCATCGTATCCGACAAATATTGGAATTCCTGTATACATGAAATGAAAAATCTACTAAATCAAATTTGTACAATCTTTTATCCATCTTCGCATCTAGAAACATCTAGAAAAAAAAATTCGCGCATCAGTGATTTCCAATTAATTAAAAAAACTACTTTCTGACGAAAAAAAGAGAGTAAGCTTCGAGCATCGAACCAGTTTTAATTCATTTTTCATTCTTCTTCTTCTAATTTTTCGCGATATTTCGAATTTCGCAAGTAATCGTCTCTCTCTCTCTCTCTCTCTCTCTCTCTCTTTCTCTCTCGTTTCACATTTTATCCGCGCGCGATTCGAATCCATCCAGGCTGCTCCCTCCTGCGAATTTCCTACCGATGCTCTGCCGTGAAACCTGTGTGCCTGTGCGGGGCGGGATGGAGAAGCATGGCGGAAATTCTCGTCGGTCGAATTACGCGCTCCTTTCTGAATTTACGTTACTCGAACTGGCGTGTCTCGGATGGCTTGGAGCTGTTGCGGAACCGGGGAGCTTTTGAAACCGCAACGCTGCGAACTTTCCCCCAAACCTCCCGTTGTGATCTTCGGTGACACACAACGTTTACGCGATTTAATGCAGCCAGTGTGACCGACTTGAGGGAACAAACCACTTATCCAAGGTTGCAGACAAGGTTGGGCGAGATCATTCAGAGAATTAAAGCTTGGCTGGAAAGGTGGAATGTTCTCAAAGTGGAGGGGTTTCTCAACCCTTTCGTGTTGCAGCAGTTCGATTATTCGATGATTAAATATAATAATAATGGAATGTGTGGAAAGTGGCTATATAAATGAAAAAGAGAAATTAGAATTGAATGAATGAATTAGAGAATTTTTGGATCCGTTCAAATTGTTTGGCTTCAAAATTTGTTTTTTTATATTTTATTTTACATTATTTTTCGAATTTTCCTTAATCGCGTTGTATTTCTCTTCGAATTTTACTTTTTTAAAATGTAGTTGGATAATATCGAAACAGTAAGTAATAATCGTTCTTTTTAAAGGTAATATATTTCAATGGAATAATTAAAGCAATCGTTATTGGAAATCGTTCAATTTTTTCAGAATATAATAATTGAATAATATTATCTTCTTTGAATCTAATTAAAACAATTCAATGAATGTAAAAGATATTGATTCCAAATAACAATATTTTAATAGCATGTAAAATTTCTCTTTTAAAAGGATCATGATACGATATTATCTTAAAAGATTTCAAACTTCATTAAACAATTATTAATAAAGATAAAAATATTCGTACAATCTCTAAAACTCTAAAATTATTTACAATTTTCTTTTTTAATAAATAATTACTATCGAATAAAAATCGTTTCGAAAAAATGAAAGATGAATTTTGTATCATTTTCGCTTTTCTATCATTTCGCCATAGTAATTTCAATCAAGCGATCGCGACTATTTGACAATTTATCCGTGTCAAAGAGGTTTCTGAGTGACAAGGGATGCATTATTAATCGATCGAGCAATTACTAGTATAAACTGGGATGGTCCATTCTCGAGCCGCAAGCGCACCACGTCCATTAACGTCGCGAAATTCTGTCACCGGCTCGTCTACTTTTTATTTCTCACTTTTCCCGTTTTACATCGCTAAGCACGGCCGAGAGTGTTGAAAGAAGAAGACATTAATTACATTAGAACGAAACACGCCCGCTTGCCTAGACACTTGGCCTAGTAAGAATCCTCTAGCGAGTAAACGAGGCGACGTGCCACGGTCCAGGGACGCGAGAATTCTCTTAACCCTTGTGCATTGTGCCCTCTGTTACAAAGGGCTGGTGAAAAATTGCCCGTGAAAATAGAAAATCCTTGCTTTTGGTTAACTGAACTTTCTTACGATTTTATTAATGATATTTTCTTCCTTTAAAACGGTAGAAAACTTATATCACGTTAAGTAAAATAGGAGAATATTCGTTTTTTTTTATAATTATCATTTATCTCTCTCCTTACTAAAATCCTTTACAATCGTGTTTATGATTCTTTCGTTTCCTCCAACTTTCTTATTTCAATTTCCAGTATAATTTAAAAGACTTTTCACTATTTTTATCAATTTTACAACTTTAATTCTACTAATTATTATTATTTTTAGGATTGGAAGACCGTTATTGAGAAGAAAAGAAGAAAATTGTGAATTGGAGGAGCTCCAGTGGCCTGCAACTGGTGAGTCAATTCGAAACGATTATTTAATCCTTCAACACCTTCAAATTAAGATCAATATGATTAACCTTTACTAATTTTTCCCCAATTTCTTTAATCCAAAATTTCATCATTAAAAATCCAAATACGCGAACAAAAATCACGACACTCCATGACAAATTTTAACCCCTTTCTCGACAAGACAAGAATTGGCATATTTCCATTCGAGAACGAAACATTCCCCTTTGTTTCGTCCAATCCTTTACACGCTTCATTCGGCCACTTGTTTCGCGCTCGTATTGCCACCCTCGAGAAAAGCCTCCATTACCGAATTGTATCAGAGGGTGGACCGCGAATCCCTCCTCACCCTCCATTCTTCCACCCTTCCCCTCCCGTTGGACAGGTTAGGTAACGCACGCCGGTCGGAAATGCGAATTCTCTTTACTTCTCCATTGTCCACCGTGCTGCAAAGGGGATGATAGAGGCGGATAGGGGGAAGGGAGAGGGGCGATGTTTGCTCTTCTGGGAAAGTAAACTCAGAAGCTTTTCATACGCGCGCGACTCGCAGCGCTAACCCAATTTTAACGGTACGACGCCGGCGGAGCTTCGTCTACGTTTTCAACGTAGAGAGAGGAGCCGGTTATTTGCCTTGCCCGCCTCTACAACGGGGCTCCCCTTTCCCCGTCTTTTATGCAAAGTATCGGCAAAGATTGGAAATATCCGTGTCGAAAGGGTAGCGGCCGTCGATGGTTAAAATAATACGAACGTATAGGTCGAAAGGAGGTTTGAAAATATTTTCTATTAGTCGCGGTCTATATCTGTTTCCGAATATTTTTCCTCGAAACCCGCACGAGGAGTGTTTACTTTGAAATCTATTGCGTCGTTTGGATAATCGATCGCACGATTCTGGATCTGTAATATGAATTTATTATTACGATAATTAATAATATTCGAGGTGATGGGATATTTTTAATTACGATTCGTAATTCGAGGAAAGTTTAGTTCGATAATAATTTGCCATAAGTTTATTTTACTTGATATATTCTAGAAAACGAAACGAACACGAATGATGTAGAAGAATTATGAATTAAATTATTGTTCATTAAATTATTCATTATAATATAATAAATAGAAAAGGTTTGATTGAAAAAAAAAGATTTGCATCGCGTAAAGTAGCAAAATATTAAAAAAACGTAAAGAGTACATAAATCCCTCGAATACGGATTATATTTAGACGAGCGCGTTATACAGTCGCGAAATCCAGGATTCCATATTCGAAACACGTGCACGATCTAACGGGTGGCATCGTCATCGTCGACGAGGGTATCCATCCAGTTTTATACCACGAACAAAGTTGTCTAGACGAAAAGATCGGGTTTGGGTATAGAGTGAAAGGTACACAGGGCTGGTAACGAAGTTTTCAAAGACAACATCGAGTCTGATATCTAACGAGTTCATTCCACTCGGGTTCCATGGCAAAAACTGCAAGTGGAGATCTCTATCTTGCGCCCTTTCCGCCCAGGTCACCGCTCTACCGCTCTCCCCCCGTATCCATTTTCACCCCTTTCCACCGACCGATGCGCAATTCCCTTTCCGTGCATTGTTCAATCGTTGCTCGTGGATTTTAATTTTACAAGGTATTATTGAGAAAAGGATAATGCGCTTTGATCATTCGAGTGTGTGTCTCTTATCTTATCGAATAAGATATCTTGTTCTTCTTTTTTCTTTCTTATAGAGGTACTTGTGAAATAAATTGAATAAGATTAAACTTTTATGAATCTCTTTTGAACTGGTTACTACGCGTATCGAAAAGAAATTTCTAAAAATTATGAAAAAATTATAGTATCCATCCTTCTACTGGTTGCTTACCTTTTTTTTTTTCTTTTAACAAAGAGCACACGAAGTAAAATTAAAACTAATCTAATCCAACGATACGATTGGCGCATATCTACATCACATCGTCATGCAAAACGGAAAACTGACATTTAACGTGAAAATCAACCTGGAATCGTGGATGTTCTTACCTCCGATTCCGGCGACTGAACGATCAACGACGTTCTCGGTGGTTTTTCCGGAGGCACCTTCTTCAACGTGCCGGTGAAGGAAGCGGAGGAGACGGCGGTGGTCGAAACGCCCTCGTGGCCGTCTATCTGGCACTGAAGCCTATGGAACTGCGAAAACGAAGCGCGCGACGCGTCAGTGCGCTCGAATTGCGGCAGACACGGCAACGGCATCTGCGACATGTTCGGTATCTGAATAGAATTCGGGTCGCTGGTATCGTGTTGCAGCCTTGGCGATAGCTTCTCGCAGACAGACGATTGGCAGGATTGATGATTAGAGTTCTGTGAATAGGAAGCGGTCAATAACGTTTGATGATGGCTGTGCGGCGTATTCTGGTTCTGCGTCAGGCAACTCTTATCGGACGATTGCTCTTGGTGGTTGGGCAGCGAGTTCGATTGAATCTGGTGGATCTCGTTCCCGATCCCGTGCGGTTGAAAATCGGTCGATCTTTGCAATTTCTCGCACAATTGGTTCTGCGCCTGCAGACTTTGCAGCCTTGCCTGCAAGTCGCTCTGTTGGTGTTGAAACTGCGCCACTTTGTCCAGGATTTGATTTTGACTCTGAAGACATTGAAGCTTCGCCTGCAGATCGCTCTGTTGCCGTTCGAATTGGCTCAGCTTCTCTGAAATTAAATCCAGGCTCTGTTGATTCTGCAATTGTTGTTGTTGTTGTTGTTGCTGCTGTTGTTGCTGCTGCGGCGTCAGCGTGTCGGACTTTTCGTTCTGTGGATCCAATTGACTTTGAAGATTGTCCGTCTGGCTCTTGCTGTGGGTCAATAAGTTGCCAGAGACATTGTGACTCTTGCGATGACTGTGAATTATGTGATCCACCTGATCGATCGGTTTGCCCAAGCTCGTTTCACCGAAATCCGTTACCACCGTGAGAACGGTCTTGGTATCTAACTTGGCTTCGCTCAGGGCTGGATACTGATGGCATATGTTGGGACTTGCCCTTTGAGAGGAGGTCGTGCTGGCAGGAGGTGGTCCCAGATTCGCCACGGATCCGCTAATAGGCTGCTCCTCGAACTCCTTCCTCGATAGTTCCATGTGTTTCGTCAGATCGGCGCTGACGTGACGCAAATGGCGACGTTGCTCCATTATCGTCCTCTGACTGATGTTGGGAATCGGTTGAAAGGCCGACTGGCTCATTCTCCCTTCCTTCCTATCGTCCGCCGCCTGATGGATCTGCCCTCTCGGATCCCTCCTCTCCTCGGACTGATTACGGGAACGCGGGCTGGTCGACATCATTTGATTCTGCATCATGCTCCTCTCGTGCTCCTGCCGTTGGCGTTGCTCGGCCCATATCGTCAACTCCTGCCTCGTCTTCTCGAAATTTTGATTGACGAACGAGGGACTCTTCTGCCCGCCACGATCCGCCGATCCCTCGCGGATCGGCATGAACGGCATAGGAGACCTTCTAACGTCCTCCATTCTTTTCCCTTCGATGGTCATAGGCGACCTCCTGTGCTCGTCGAAGTAATCGGATCGCCTGTTTTCTTGCGGCATCGCCACTCTTTGATTAGGGCTCACGTTGCCCCATTCGGGCTTTCTGTCCGCCCCTATGCTCTTCCTATTCTCTTGTCTCGTATCAAAAGCCATCGGAGATACTCTCAAGCTCGTGTCCAATCGCCTTTGATCAGGCGGATACACTTGATTGGCTTCGACCCGTTTCGGATCCACCATGCTTCCGCCCTTCCTGCCCGGCATCAATATTTCCTGATTCCCGTCACCGGGGAACGTGAAGGTGATCGTGTCGTTCCGCCGCTGGAAACTCGATGTAACGTCCACGGAAATAGACTTTCTGTGTTCAGGCCTGGCCACGTACAGGCCGCAGTCGGCCGCCACGGCCTCGCACATTTTTTCCCGCCCAGGTGGCGGCTGATCCTCGTTCGTATCCACGTACAACCCGTCCTGTCGTGTCCGCGGATTTTGATTGATGGCCGCCAGATACCTCCTGTCTTGGGCGTCGGCCACTATCTGTGCACCCTGGACGATTATCGCCCCGTCGCTCCGATGGATCTGCTGCTCCTGCGGGACAGGATTTTGACCGGGATCGTATTTAGGCTTCTGCATCCCGGCCACGTCGACGCTCGCCGATTTTCTGTGCCCGGTGTCGTGCGTGATCTTCGAGTTGCCTCGGGGGGGAACCATGGGTTTCGGCCCACGACTCGGTCGCTCGCCAGTTGCCATCGCGAGACCGTGGGTCACGTTCTGGGCGATCGGTTGGATGATCGGTTGGGTCTGGTATTGACCCAACTCCTGCGAGAATCTCTGAGGATTGGGCGATTGTTGGCCGAACTGTTGACCCGGGTAAATTCCCGCGTGGGGTGTGTACGGTACCGCGTTCATCATTGTCTGGGGATATTGGGTGTAAGGGTATTGGGGCTGGGTACCGTATTGGGCGTAGCCAGTCGGTTGAGGCACCACCACGCCTGAGAAGTACGGCGGCTGAGGACTGGCGGATTGAGGGGGTATTTGCGACCCGTGTTGAACCGTTACGTACTGACCTTGACCGGTGAACATGGGATTCGCCGCGCCTCCTTGGTACAACGTGGGATCCCTGTACGTCACGTCTCGGGTCACGTAACCGGCACGCTCCGCGTATTGCGCTTGTTGAGGATACATCTGCGGTCTCACCTCGAACTGGCTTCGTATCTGTGTGTACTGGGTCTGATCGTAATCGGGCACGAATTGGGGTTGAGCTTGAACAGGAAGGGTTTGAGTGCTAGTTTGAGACACGTTCTGCGTTCTCTCCGGTGCCGTAGACTTTTCTTGCCCGTACTGTTGAGGAGGAAGTTGTCCAGTCGGTGGATGTCTGTCTTCGGGAACACCGACCACAGCTTGCTTCCTTCCAATCGGGTATTGACCGGTCTGCTCAGTTTGCTGTTGCTGCTGCTGTTGTTGTTGCTGCTGTTGCTGTTGCTCTTGGCTCTGAGTCTGGCCGATCGACTTGGTCTGCTGTGCCCTGTCTTGAGAGAATCTGTCATACTCTATGGTACGGTTTTCGAAGCCATTTGACAAATCTTGTTTGGCATTATCGGCAGGCGGCTCGGCCCGACCGTTCTGACACGACGTCTGCTGGTTCTCCATCGTTTGTCCGACCTGGTTCTGCTCCTGGTGGCTATCGTTCACCCCTCCTGAACCAGACTGCGACATGTTGGCGGCCCCCACCGACGGTCTTCCGCCGATGTAGCCGAGAATTCGCCCCAATCCGCACACCGTGACGATTTTATCGTTCAACTCTCTGTTGGAAATCTAGATTCTCGCTTCAACGCAATCGTCACGGATCGCGTTTTTACGCCTCGTAAATTCCTCCAGGTCCACTCGAGGCATGTAAACGTCGATATTGAATGTCGTTCTACTTCTCCTTTTCCGTGATCCTTATCGAATTTCTCTCTCCCTTTGTTTCTTCTTGATCTCGCGGAAACGAATCTCGCGAGAGGATCAGATCATAAATGTTTCTTTATCGCGATTTTGTACCAATATTCGTTTCCCTTTTCTTTTCTTTTTGATACGATTATTAGATTTTCGTCGAAATTTTTTAGTCCAAAAATTTATCTCTGCTGATTGAGTGATTTTTTTTCTTTCTCCCTTCTTTGAACGGCCCGAAAAATCAACGAACGAGCTTGTTACGCACGATCTACTTTTTTCTTTTCTTTTTTTTACATTTTCTTTATTCGGATCGTTCTCGCTCGTTTCTCTCCTAGGGGCTTCGTTAATAAATCGCGGACTCGTCGAATAATATTACGTGAAAATTTGAAACGTTTGTCCAGGCAGAAGGTCTTTGAACACCGCCCTCGCATTTCTCATTTTTTTTCCAAGAGGGGAGGAAAAAGGGAACGCGCAATTGCGAATATAATCTCTTTTATTGCGCCCCTTTGACGTGATCGCCGTTTTTCGTTTCGCAAATCTTCGTCGATTCTATTCTGTTGGCTTTCACTTCATAGTTTTCTTGTCGTCACGTTGACGAAATTGTATCGGGAAAGAAATATGGTTTTCCTCTTCGCGTCTTCTTGTTCGATAAATAACTGTTACTGGTAATTTATATTTATTGAATTATTTTCGCGAATATTATTCCAAAAATCTTTATTCGCGATTCGAAGTTTATAAACGCTTAAATTTTTCTTACAATATTGTATCTTCTACGGATAATTGAGATTCAAATATCGATCAGCTGGTGTAAATTTCTCGAAACGTTAGAAAAATTGATTATTCCATCAATAATATTCTCTTATACGTTTATTATCAGTTCCTTGAGTAATTTTGATTTCCATTAGGCAGTTTTTCCTTTATTACTTTAAGTAACTTTCAATACTCTTCGAGTTGAAAGACGATATTTGATTTTATTGTTCCAGTTTCGTATCAACATTCTTCCTTTATATATCTAACGAAAGAATTAACTCTTTCTTTTTCGCGGAATCGTAGCAACGATTCATCCGCAAAATATCTGTAGGATCGATCTGCAAAATAAAGACACGAAACACGTACTTCTCCAACTTTCCTACTTCGTATAAATTTCCCTCGTAATATTCGGCGCAAGATTAACATTCGACCAAAATTTAAAATTAATTGGAGAGAGGGGGAGAGAGTAATCTCTATTATTCAAATTAACACGTTCAACAATAACCACCTACACCTATAGCGTGAATTAATTAAAATAATTGTTAATCCGGAAAATAATCCTCGACCGCTCGAACTTTGTTTTTGCATGAAATTAAAAGTCCATTAATAAGTTTTGGAAATAAACGGAAGAAAACATCGAAATCCCTATTAATTCTCGGGAGGCTGAAACTTAATTCCTCGCATAAATTAAGGGTCTGGTAATAGTTTCTCCACGGCTTTCTGAACCATCGAGCCGTGTCTAACGGAGGCGGAACACCGAAAAACATCGGAAAGGAAGTTCGAATAAACTGTTGGCCGTTAATTCAGAAATTTCACGATCGAGTTCCGAATAGAGGCGGCTCGGCCAAGACGTTTATTTAGCCAAGGCTTCGACGTCGGCCCTCAGAAATGCCGGCAATCCGCGTTTCAATTTATCTAACCGACAATGACAAGGGCGAACAAAGAGTTCGCTGCTTCGGGGACGATCTATTTCACTCGGTGGAACGCGAATTGTTTTCGTGATTTCCCAAGCGCCTCGTGATCACTTTAGTTTCAGATAGACGCCCTTCTTCATTCAATCTTTCATTGCCTGAAATTTACTAAACGGTAAACGGAAAATTTAATATTGAAAATTTCTTCGAGAGACCTTTGAACTGACGAATTCTATTTTCTTTTCCTTTTGCATTAATAATTTCCTCTTGGTTGGCAATAATTGTAATCATTTTTTCGACGAAGAATCGAATGAAGAGAATGGGATAACGGGTATTATGGGGCAATTAAAGGGGAATTTCTAGAATTTCGTCTCGTTTTTGATACCTGCACAGGACCATTCACTGTGTTTTATTGGCGATATATCGCTAGAAGAAAGTTGCCCATGGCGAAGAATCTTTGGTAGAAACTTGGATAGAAGGGAAGACGAAGCGTGGCGCATTTATCTGTAATAAGAACTGGTCTATAAATCCGTTTACGAGCAATATCAAATTTACTGGAATATTTATTGAAACGTTTCAACTATCGCTGCTAAATGTTGGTATTAATGTGGTATTAGGGTTTATGTTGTGCTTTATATCGAGAATTTCTGATATTGGTACTAATTATTCCGCACCTGATTGAATATTAATGATGAAATTTAATCGTATATGAAATAACAAACTAATACTAACAATGCAATATATCATCCATCATTGCTTTCGTTTATCATTGAATATTCTATTCTGGGAAATTTTTATTTTTCAAAAAAAATATTCGCACAAATCAAACTACGATACGATGATATTTAATCATCTTTAAAACTTTTTTCATATTTCGACCAATCTGAAACGAATATAAATTCGAATAACTCAATAATTCGGTCTCGATCCCTTTATCCGATCTCTGATATTAATTCATTTCTGACATTTGAGCAAAAAATACACAGCAGAATTATTTTCTCAACGAACACTCCTTCCTTAATCTTGATAATCAGAATCATATATATAACACCTCCAGTGTCCATAGAGCAGACACGCCACTTTGCAAGCGACCATCGCCTTTAGATCCATTCGAGGGTTTCAAACTAACACAGTTTGCACAAAACCTAGGGATGTGCTTAAAGTGACCATCTCGTTTCGCAAACAAGGGACTCGTAATTCATCATCCCCAGGCTTGCCAACACGCTTTACATCGAGACTAATGACTGGTCTTTATACACGGGGGTTGAAAGGTTGACGCGTGAATGCCAGTTTGTGGGCTGGACGTCATGTATCATGAAACATGAACCGGTCGAAGTGAAAATACAGTGTAAATTGAACTAATGGTTTCGGATCCCGTTTATTTTCGATCTGTTTAAGAGAAAAAAATCGTTTTTATCGTTGTAAATAAGTTAGCGCGATATATGATCATAAATTATATTGCGATTACGCTTTCGACGTGAATGATCTATACGATCATTTTTTCTTTTTTTTTTTTTTTTTTTGATATTAATTATCTCGTAACTCGATGAATTTTATCACATAGTTTGTAAATTTGAAACGTTATTTGTTGTTAAATGATTTAATTTGAAATTTTTTATCCTTATAAATAGTCTTGACAATTTCTATTATAATTTTTATTACAAAAAAATGGAATAAAAATTTAACCAATTTATTAGAATGAAAATTATTTTTAAAATTAGCAAGCATGACTCGTGATTAAGAATACAAAAATAATTAAGATTTAATTAATAATTAAGATAATAATTAATTAATAAATAATTAAGATAATTAAGAGGGATAGTGAATTATCATAATGTTTAATATAATTGTAATATATTATAATATATTATAATATATTATAATGTAGTTAAACAAAATTATCGTTTATAATCAATTCGTGCATTATCATTTAATTACAATATAGTATATCATTTCTCCTTGTTATTTTTCCTTTTTGATTGTACTCGTGTATACATCGCACACATTGAAGACTGAAAAAAAGTACGTGGAAGAATGCGTAGAAATGGAAGATACAAACAACTCGAAGATATTTCCTTGAATATGTTTGAAGAAAAATTTACAAAACAGTTACTCGTAGAGAGACAAATAAATTGCTTTTGTCGTATGTGAACGTGCTTGTATAGTATACACATTTATGAATTACAACAAATATAAGTGTATAATCATGTTTACAAATATACGTGTACTTTGTTCAGTGATTTCTTCTTTTTTTTTTTTATTATTTCGCGAAGATTTATGAAATAATATACTTTAGTTTCGAATATACAGTATTATAAAAATAATATTTCAATTTTTCAATATATTTATATCAAATCTTAATTTAAATTCGAAATTAAAAATAAATATATTATTTTTTACATACAATTTCTATTGCACAACTCTTGTTCCAAAAATGAATAAACAGAATTCCAAATTAATTTTTACCTTTGAATATTTAGTAATTTTTATTTTAGAAAATTTCTAGCGATTGAATGAATTACTGGAAATTTGTTCTACCATGTAACTCGATGTTAATCCAATAAAGATTCATTTTACGCTTGCGTTTGTAATTCAAGGGAACATGATCTACCAAAGATCGTGTATATTTACACGATGTTCAGTATCAAGATCAAAATAATTTGATCCGGAGTGAATGTGCCTTGGTATTTCTGAATGAAGCTAAATATACACACCAATATAATTTTCACGTAATAGGGAAATTGTATATTAGAGGTTATATATTATATATACATCGTTGCTGTTCGAATATTTACTTTACATTTAATTGTATCCGCCAGTTTGTATATTTATATCCTACTATTCCTGTTTAGTAAACGTGTTTTGATGAACTGACATGTGTACAAATTTGCCATTTCCACGCATGTATTATTACATATAGAGATTGCATTGTTGAATCAATTGTCAATTAATTAGTCAATAATTATTTAACAGAATGTTAAAAACGTCTAACTAACGTTTCCATGAAAATATTTTTCGAATTGACTGATGATAATTCGCGTAATTAAATAATTAAAAAAATATATATTTATCGATAATGCGAAAACCAAGATCTTGTTCGTCGTGTAGTAAATTGTGGTGAAC